TGATAGTGATTTTAATCACTGTCAGATATCATTTACTTGATCCAACTATGCCACGTCACCACTATGCCGCGACCCCCCTGTGCTGGGTTTTTTTTTCTAAATGATAATACAAATGACATAATCTTTAAAATACTGTAATAAATATGTTTGATGGAAGAAAAAATATTAAATAATTATATCGAGTTCGATGGTTATAATTTATTAATTTTATTAGAATACCAACCTCATTTACAATTACCCCTATTCACAATTACCCCTCCTGACCTTATTAATCTTAACATTTTCATTTTTCTCTATTTAATAATGCCAATTTCAAACTTGCAAGTTGAGCTAAAAGTTATGGTAATAAATTCATTTTTGTTCTATTAAAACTTTCACTTTAAAGGACAAAAAAAAGAAGGTTCAACNCTTTCATTTGATATCATTTTTTTGAAAATCTATCGCTTTACCTGCTCATTGGGGGGAATTTAAAATAGTAACTTTTTTACAAAAAATAACTTTTTCTACTTAATTTTTGAAAATGTTCCGGAAATACTGCGTCCTTTAAACATATATAAAATTAAAGCTTATTTTATGTACTATAAAATGAAAAAAAAAAATTTGTCCCGACACTTTATCTTCTGCATGTAAACGGTTGCCGTAGTTAAAAAAACACTATTTTTGTGTTAAAATTTTCGATTTTCAATTTTTAATTTTCAACTTAAAAATGCTATAACTTTTCGAAAAATGCATGTATCAGCACAATTTTTTTTTTTCTAAATACATTATAAGTACATCTTCCATTTGACATACTTTTTATTAAAATTAGACAATTTCCCCTTATATAGGGGGGGTTCAAACTTTGAAACATTGTATAAAAAATAGAACTTTTTCAACTGAACTTTTGAAAATGTTCCGGAAATACTGCATCCTTTAAACATATATCAAATTAAAGCTTATTTTATGTGCTATAAAATAAAAAAAAAATTTGTCCCGACAACCAATCTTCTATGCGCAAATGGCTACCGTATTCAAAAAAATGCTATTTTAACAAATTTTTTTTTTTTAAATTAAACACTATCTACAGATTTGCATCGAAGCGTTTTTTATGATAGTGATTTTAATCACTGTCAGATATCATCTATACTGGACCCAACTATGCCACGACCCCACTGTGCTGGGTTTTTTTTATTTGTATTTCTTTTAAATAAAATATTTGAAAATAATTTATTTTTGTTTTAATAAGAATCGTGATTTTAGATAAACCAAAAAAGTATTTAGCAAAGTAGTAATTTAAAATAATTTATAGTTTTTTAAAAGTGCTTTTTAAAGAAATGCTTAAAGGTTGCATTAAATAGAACTTCAATTAATATTCTAAACAATATAACTTTAATTTTAGCTGTAAGAAAACTGAGAGCAATTATTGCACTTAGTTTTCATTAATTATTAATGGAGTAAGTGGTAAATTATATTTTCTGAATGAGATAATTTTTTTTAGGTCACTTATTTATTTAACCATCAGATATTCTAAGGGAAAAATATATTTTCCTTTTATTTATTTAATTAATAAACAATTTTGTTAACATTTCATTTATTTATAAGTATAATGAAAACACCTCAAGTAATTTGGTAATTAATACAAAAAAATTTAATTAGTTACTTATAATTTAACACCCCATAAATAAAAAAATAAATTACATTTACTTTGGGAAACAAATATGCAAAAAGTTCAATGCTTTACTACAATTTATGATTTAAATTGGTAAATTTCATGTCTCAACAAATACATATAATACATATAAATACATGAGAATACATAGTATATTTTTGACAATGAAAATTATGAGTAATAAGCCCTAGCTCGTGTTAGCTTTTATTATTCGTATCTAACTTACAGCACACTCATACTAAAGAAGTAAATATTTTTTAAAAGAACATTAAAATGCATTCATTTTAGAAATTGAAATATGAAAATTTAACTATAAATTATTCTTTACAAATAGAAAAGTTATACATTAAGAAATTATGTGCTGATAAACAATAACATTTAATAATTATAGTTATAACTACTAACAGTTATAATAAAAAGCACTAATTTTATAAAAAAAAAATAATTGTAAATCATTATTAAATCTTTAGTTTTTAATTAACTTAAAGAGCTAAATTTGAAATGAATACTTTAAAATTTTATTTGTTTCATTCCCTCATCCCAATCCAATTGTCAAGATATTAATTCATTAATAGCCAATTTTTTTTCATTTTCTTGTCCACACAATTTCTCTATTGAACTGGCAAATTCTAAGTTAAGCCAATCTTTAGACAAGTTGTCTAAATGATTGTCAAAGTCTATTAAATTGGTATACAATTGCTGCTGAAGCACCGCTGATGCAGCTTCTAAAGTTCCATTATCAACTTGTCCACTAATTTTTAAATAATTAAGTAATATATAAGTTACATAATAATTTTTTTTAAATAATATGCCAGAACTTTATTTAAAACACACATACTTATGACGTTTCCATTTCCCCTCTTCTTGTCTGTGTACAATAAGAGCACTTTCTTTCTGATTTATTCCAATCAATCTATTATTAATCTAATAAACAATATTTCTAAGTAAATTTTAAACTAATAAATTTAATGTTGATTAGTTATATTGATTTTTAGATATGAAACTAAGAAATTAATAAAAACCAATACCAAATTATTAGGTGGCCTACTTAGTTCAAACAGCAATGCATTGTACCTTGGTTTGTTTTCATTGCATTAAGCTTTATGGAATTCCCATTCTCTTTACAAAAGCATAGCTTTTCAAAGAGAAAGTTAAAGATAAAATCAATAATAATAATAAACAATCGTTATAACAAGATAAAAATTTAAAACTACATCTATACATATGTATAGTACAATAAAATTTTTAGAAAGCTAAATTTAATTTAGGTTTGTTTAAAATATTCATAAAATAATTTGTAAAAATTTTTTGAAGGAGGTTGAAACTTATAATTTAAGTGTTCTGAGCAATACATTATAACAATTCAAGAGTGTCACAATTATGCAGATGATAAGAAAGAAAGATATAAATATGCATTTATTTCAATATTAATCCTTAAAACTTACAACAACTAAACAGACACCTGATTCATATTCGGCTATTTTATCAATTATTTTATGAGCTGGCTTATCATGACTGAAAAACAACAAAAAAAATAAGCATATATATAGTAGTTATTAATAAGTAAAGTATGATTTATACCTCAAGTCATCTAGAGTTTCATTGGCTAAATAATATCCAGCAATATACATATTACATGAACTGGCTATTTGATCAATTTGTGTAAGTGCTATTTCAGACATGGGCGATACATGTAGGCATTGATGAAACAGAGGAACTGAATCAACAATAATCAAATTGTCACCTTTATTTGAGGATTCGGCAATTAGTAAACCATTTACTTCACAATGTGGATATTTAGCAGCATGCCCAACAATTTTACAATATGCCAATGTTGAAAACGAAACTTTTGACATTGTGAATATTATTATAGTAAAAACAATTTTAATTTAAATAAGAATTAACTAATAAATGTTAATGAATATGTTAATCGATATTACTTTGAGTAAAAATAAATAATTTTACATTGATTACAAGTTGAAATAAAACTTGTGTTATCAATTAGACTGATAAAATCTGAATATATATTTATGTAATGATGATGTCGTGTTATCTTATTTTGTAGATTTGAATCACTTATCTATAGTAACACATGTGTCAATTTGTAAAAATACAGTTTATAATATTTTTTTATTTTTAAAGTTAACAATAAGTTTTGCAAATATGGAAACCGTAATCTAATTATTATGTATTTTATATATAATTTTTTAATTTGAAAATAGTATATAGTTTTGTATTTTAACTATTTTTATGAAATTGTTGTATAATTTGTATTTTATTTATTAAAACCGACAATGAAATCAGCAGTTTTTAAAATCTTAAATAAAAATATCAAGTGAATCATAAAAGTATAGAAAAGAAAATCATAATTAGTATAAATTTTAACTCATTTTATCGAGTATGGATACATTTGACATAAATTATAATACAAGCAAAAATTACTGGTCTAATACTCCAGCATCATTAGATGGCATGCTTGGAGGATTTGCAAAACTTACTATTCCAGATATTAAAGAGTCTAATGTATTTCTTAAAAATTTGTTTAAAATGAAAAATGGACCGTCAAACCTGAGAGCACTTGATTGTGGTGCAGGTATAGGAAGGATATCAAAACAACTACTAACTAAACACTTCACATATGTTGATTTATTGGAACAAGATAAAAAATTTGTTGAAAAAGCTCAAATTATTCTACAAGGAACAAATGTAGTCAACTTTTATTGTGCTAGTTAATATTATTTAATTTAAAAAATATGCTTGCTCTGTTTAAAAAGTACTAAACATCAATTATTTTAGGTCTTCAAGATTTTTCACCTAATAACAATATTAAATATGATGTCATTTGGATTCAATGGGTTCTTGGATATATTACTAATGAGGATTTGATTAAATTTTTAAAAAAATGTTGGTAAGATTAATAACAAATTTTTATAATAATAATTATTTTTTTATTATTAATATTATTTTTGTAATATATTGTTCTAAGTAATGTTTTTTTTTAATTGCAGCATGCTTCTTAACAAAAATGGTGTTATTGTGATTAAAGAGAATATTTCATCATCTGAAGAAGGTGATGTTGATGCAATTGATAGTTCCGTAACAAGAAGTATTGATAGCTTTTGTAATATTTACCAAGAAGCTAATTTGAAGTGTATTACTAGAAAAACACAACAAAATTTTCCTAAGGGAATGTATAAAGTTGAAACATTTGCGTTGCAACCAATTATTAAATAAAAACATTTGTACATGTCTAACACTTGTTGTTTAATTTTTTTTTTAATATGGTTTATGAGTAACAATTCTATTGATATAAACAATATCTTTTCTAATGTAATAATGATTATTGATTCTACTAAATTCAGACAAAATCTAACTAGATTAATCCTATTAAATAAATTGTCATATAAATAGAAGAACATATAACTTTTGGGTAGTCGATTTTTCTTCAACTTTATAAAAAAGAATATTTAAGTAGTTCAATTATATACCTATCTCTAATTTCACAGTTATATCAATACAACAATTATTAGTATATTTTGTGTTTCTGATTTTACTCTGAATGTTTATTTTTTAGCTTTTCATCATAGTACATTATTTTATGTCTTTTACGTGTACAGTATAATCCTACAATTTTTATTAGGTTTATAGATTTTTTGATTTACATTCTAGTAAATTATCTGAAATGTAATATAAAAATTTATTGTAGGATTAAAATATAAATAATATTGATTTAAAATATTTTCAATATTATTTTTTATTTAAAGAATGTTTATTTTAAAAGTATGACTTTAGAAAATAAAATACATTTCATTGTGTTGATAGTCATTTTATTACCAAACTGTAGATGTGTCAAATAAGTTTAAAATTAATTGTAAATATAATTAACTTATTTAAATGTGTATTTGAGTCCAAAACCAACACTATGAAGTTTTACTAGTTAAAGGTTCTTTTTCCCCAAGTTACTTTAATTTCTAAACAACAATTATTTTAGTATTTATTCCTATCACTTGAAACATTAAGTAATATTTAATATTATACTAATAATTTTGCTAAAAACTTAATTAAAATAACTATTTAATCTCCTAATTAAATATAATTTTGTGAAATTCTGATCATAAGTATATTACAGTACGTAAAAAAAAAACATTTTTGTCCTATAGGGAATGATCCTTCACTCTCGCTTCTTAATTATTATACATTTTTTTAATGATCAGAAATTAACATTTATTTCTAACAACAATTAAAACAAAATTTATAAACTGTTAAAATCCCAAGCCATGGTTATTACCTGTAGTACAACACCATAATTTTGTTTTTCAAAATTATAAAAATTTTAATAATAATTAAAAAAATTATTGTTTGGAAAGTCAGAATTTTAATTTTAATTTGACTATTTTAATTATTCTTTGTTTACATCTAACATAAAATGAAAACATTTTAAAATATTAAAGAAAAATAAAACAACTGATCAAAATCTGGTTTTTTTTTTTTATTAAGATGTTAACAAAAATTAAGCCTTTACAGCATACATTCTGGGGGGGAATTTATTCTTCTTCTTAATTTCCTTTAGGGTTTTAATGCTGCGTTCTTTCTTATTTAAGGCACGTCTCTTAGCTCGAGTAAGTTTTGGCCTCAAGTCCAAAGGTTTATACTTACGGTTCTACAAAAATAAAATAAGTATTAAAATTATAAATTTATACTTAACAATAAATAAAAATAAATAAAATCATTCTACAATCATAGTACTATAATGCTATTTGTTCACTAGATCTCTAATAACAAAATAAATTTTATTGAAAACTATTTCTCTCAGCGTTTACTTCGTAAATACTATTATAAGAAGTTACAATTGTATTAAATGTAAAAAATTATAAAAAATAATAATTTCTTGAAATTATTAAAGAAATATGTTGATAATTTAATATTACAAATTCAGGTTTGCAAAAATTAAAACTTTTCAATTAAACCTATAATATTTGGGAAAAACATATAATATATATTATATATCGTTTTTTTTTAACAAATTCAATTCCATATTTGATTAAAATAGATTAATGATAAAAAAAATTATAGTAAAACCACCAATGTGTATAGTTGATACATTATACTCTAAAAATATCCAGAAGTTGAGCATTATATTCTGAATGAATAATTTTGAAGTATTGAATTAAAGGAGATATTTTCAAAATTGAAGATAAACTTATAGAAATAATGTAATAGTTTTTTTGAATACAGCATACACTACCTTGAAAATTTTCCGTAAAGCTTCCTTTTGTTTTTGATGGATCACAACATAACAACGTAATATAGCTTTACGCACAACACGACTAAAAACATAATTAACATTCAAATTAAAAATAAATAACACTCTATTTTTTTAGAATATAAAAATGTATAATACATTTTAAATATCGAATATCATATATAATTTTTTTTTTTTATTATAGAAGGAATATAGAAGAATTTCATTTGAAACAATTAGAGAAGTATTCAATGATAAATAAGATTGTTAATTTTAAAAATGCTTGCAACAAATTAGCACTTAGAAATTTATTATCATTCTAGACTTGTAAAATAAATAAAACCACTTAAATACATAATACATGTTATGTGAAATACAACACAAAAACTTATAAGGAAAAAGTTCAAAGAATAAATCGAAAATCTGATTAGAGAATATGTTTAAAGAACATCATGTGAAGAGATAAAATGTTTGTAATATTTAATTAATTAATATATATAGGTATAAATAAATTTTGAAACAATACTGCATAATCAAGACAACAATAAAAAACAGAATCAACACTAATACATAAGTATTTATTAATGCATACCAAAAATGGAGGCCATAAGATAAAATTTGTTACAATTGTTTAACAGTATTAAGAATAACTTTGTGCAATACTTACATCCGCGAAAGTTTGGATGCTGTACCACCAGTAACTTTAGACACTCTTAAATTAGCTAATTCCTGTTTCAACTCTTCGAGTTGCTTCAACAAGGAATCTTTGTCTTTGAGACGTAAATCTGAGCACTTGACTTTAGTCTATAAAATCAAACAAGTAAAATTAAAAAGTCATTAATAATAAACAAACCAAGAATAAATAAATAAATACTGTACTAAGTTATTATTTTATAAAAATACTAAATAAATATATAAAGTTAATTACAAGATTGAATTGGATTAAACTTACCATTTTCACAGTTTGTTAAAGAAATTCGTCAATTACCCGATAGGTACGAAATGGACATTTAAAGACGATCGTGTTTACATCATACAATCATTCTAACCCTAAATATATTTTCATGTATCATATTATACCATGGTTGTGTTTCGAAATTTGGTTATTTTATATAGCATGGAAGAAAAATAACGATTGGTAAAATATTCAGTTATCTTATTGATAATAATAATTAGTAATAATAACATAACTTTAATTGTAGTGTCGGTGTCTTGTTGTAGATGAAATTCCTTTTTTAATTAGATATAAAATATAAAAAATCGTTTAAATTTTATAAATTATTATATTATTGTAGTACATATAATGTATTAGGTTTAACAATATAAAGTAATTTTTTTTTTTTGATTACACATAACCAAAAAAATTCTTTTTTGATCATTAAAGATATTTTTTAGCTTATATTTTTAACTCCTACTCTAATGTAATCTTTACTTAATTATAGGCTAATATTTTAGCCAATTACGTGAGTTAAATGGATATTGGGTTGACTGAAGCAATGAAAAATATGGTTCCTAAAGGACTGCCTGCTGATATCAATTCAGCATACAGTGGTTATGTGACTGAGAAATTATACATGTTGTTGCAACTCTATTTGCAGAATAAAGGATGGAACAGTATTGAATTGTTAAAAATATTTTCAGAGATGAAAGATTCATCTGTACTACCTAGTGCTTCCTACTTGCAGTATGTTTTATTTATATATTAACATCTCCTTATATTATGTCATATGATTTTTTTTTTATGTCATTCTTATAAAATATATCACATTATTAAAAAATGCATGGTAAAATTATATTAATGAAAGTTTAAAATATTTAATTTTTAAGTTGTTTAAGTTATATGGTTTTTATTAGTAAATTTATTATTACCATATTATGAATAACCTTAAAAATTATTTCTTTGTATCAAGTAGCTTTTTAGTTATGATACTTCATCTCATTCTAAAATTGTCTAAGTAAAAAAAAATATAATGATAAAACAACATGTATAATCATGTCATAGGATATCTTTATCAACGTAAAGTTTAAGTTTAGATTCAATATGATATCTCAATAATAAATATATTATTTTACTGAATTATGAAATAAATCTAATCTAAATTACGATTTAATCAGTTTGAGCAGTCTTAAAGTGATAAGACTTTTATATTTTAAATTAATATTATTACAAATCTAATACTTTCCAAAACTATATCACTTTAGGTATAAGGATAACCATTTAAGAAGTCTTTTAGAAAATTGATGACCAGATAATTAAGCCTCATAATTCTTAAGCATGTTATTTACATGTCATCAAACTTATAGAATAGGAAAGTTAAAAAAAAAACTTGAAATATGATTTATTTTTATTATTTATTTACTGTTTTTTTTATTACTTTTTCATTTAAATAAATTGAAGTTTTAATCTATTTTCAGAATGATGGCATCAAGAGTTTCATTGGACAGCCAAGCAAGATTAATTCTTAGAGAAAATGGTAAAATCATCTTGCCTTATGAACACTTTGCTAATGCAGTGATGTTAAAGCATATGAATGGACCACATGGATTACATCTGGGTGTCGAAGGAACAGTTAGAGCGGTAGTTGTTTAATAAGAATATTTTTACTTAAATTTTGCTTTTTTTTTAATGTTTATAGTAATCAATTTTATTTGTTCTTTATATAACTAATAAGAACATTTGTATTGCTTGATTGAAAAGTCCTAGTTTTTATATGTGTTACTATAATATTAGTATAACCACTGTAAGTTAAAAATAAAAACTTGTGCACTTATCTAAAAAATGCATTTACAATAATTCCACTTCATCCTAAGTGATTAAATATTTATTAGGTCTATTCTTTACTTCTTATAAGGGTAATTAATTATTTTTTTTAAATGGCAACATTCCTATTAGGGACACATCTAGAAATTTTTCAAAGGGTACAGACAAAATTTTAGCTTCGATGCGAAGCTGAGAAGGTATTAATTTTACTATGATGTATTTTTTTTTTTTGTGTCTGTTACCACTTTTTCTCAGCTCTCACCGAACTGATTTCTTTCAATGATACGTCAAAAGATCACAAATCGTATCAAGTCGAAGAAATTATCCTTAAAAATTCAACAAACTTCCCTCGTTCCCCATAAATGGGGGAAACCTCCAAAAAAATTTAAAAATCACTAATTTTCGAAATTTATTCAATTCTTTTTACTTAAAACTGCCATAACTTTTTCAAAAATGAACAAATAAATATAATTTTTTTTTTATAGATGCTTGATGTCTTTACCTATCATTTGGTATATTTTTTTTATAAATTTAACCCTTTACCAGCTCACAGGGGAGGATTCAAAATGACAACTTTTTCACAAAAAATTAACTTTTGAAAGTGTTCCGGAAATACTGACACTTTTATATATATCTTAAATTAAAGCTTATGTAATATACTTTAATATTAAAAAAAAAAATGTTGGACTTTATTTTGTCTTCACCTTGTAAATGGCTATCAAATGCTATTTTTGTGTGAAAATTCTCGATTTTATATTTTACATTTTTAACTTTAAAATGTTATAACTTTTTGAAAAATGTATGGATCAACACAATTTTTTTATGAAAAATAATATTTTTAATTATCTCTTTTTCATTCGATATACTTTATCTTAATCAGGATATTATTAAGGAACTAGCAGATCATGTAGCTTTAGGAATAATCCACCAATTTTTTAGAATTAAACACTATCTAAAGATTTGCATCGAAGCGTTTTTTTTTTTTTATAGTGATTTTAATCACTGTCAGATATTATACTTGATCCAACTATGTCATGTCACCACTGTGCCACGACCCCCCTGTACTGGGTTTTTTAAATGTCTATATTAATTTTTTTTGTCAATTTTATCATCCAAAACCCTTTTTATCCTTTTATTTTAAAATGACAATGGTTAAAAGGAAAGTGTTTGCATCTATATCCTATTCCTGGATCTGTCATTGATACTTAGTTAACTAATTTATGTAATAAAAAATAATCTAACTAAAATTATTTTTATAATTATGCATTTTTCTTAAGTGCTACTGCTCCCATCCTGATGTAATAATATTTATAATTCTTGAAATACTGGTTTGAAAGTTGTTATCGACCAGTTATTTGCTTAGTTAGATAATTTTTTTATTATAAAAGTTAGTTAAATATATGTTGCCATTTAAAAAAATTAAGTTGGTTCTCTAATAAGAAACAAGATATGGACATAAAAAGTATTTAACCATTAAAAATTCAAGAAATGAATACTACTAAAATGAGCCAAAAAAAAAAAGTTATTAATTTAGAATTATATATATATATAAATCTCCAAGTAAATAAAAATAGTTTTGGTAAAAATAATTTTAGTAGTGTTGCTGTTCATATTTTTCTATGTTTTCGTAAAGGTTATGGATTCGTATACTATTGGTAGGGACAATTTTGGGATGGAAAAAGAATTTATTATTGAAGTAGTTCAAAATTGTCCAAATCCAGCATGTCGTTATTATAAAAATCAATTAGACTTATCTCAACATTCTAAACAGCCAAACTATATCAGTTCTTCAAGCTCTGGTAACCAATTTATTATTTTTAGTACTACTGGTTTTAAGTAACAATAAAGCTTTTTATTGTACATTAATTTCTTTAATAGTTATAATTTATTTTACAAATTTATAGGTGTCAATATACCTGTTGGTAGAGAAAGTCCCAATATTCCTATGAGTCAAATCATAAATCATAGTATGTCTTCTAGCAATGCTCCTCAATCACAACATATAGCACCAGTTGATCTAACTGGATCGTCTCATCAGAGTGACATGCAAAATGCAATGCCTATAAATATACCTCAAGCTTCAAAAACAGTTAGTGTTAGACAAGCTCAACATAATAAATTGGCAGATTTTTTAAAAGCTAACTTAGAAAATTTAGATAATAAAGATCTATTAGCTGCTCATGATACTAATTGGCCCGATGTGTCTGAAAACCGTAAAGGTCATTTAGATGGTATGTTTTCAATAATAAAATTTTTTAAATATATTCTTTTACACCATTAAGATGTTATAAATTTTTTTTTTAGCTGGACAAGAAAAAATAATTAGAGCATTTTCAGAAATAATGAAGAATATGGGAAGAATGAAAGCTTGTGTTAGACCATCTATGTGTAAGCCTTATGGAAAACAATCAGAATCTTTACAAAAAAGTAATCTTATTAATAGCATAAATGGTATACTAAAAATGTTAAGTTTATTGAAAGTCTAATGAATTGTACTTTTTAAAAACTATTTCAAAATAAATAAATTTTGTATTCATGAAAATCTATTTTTAGTAGCTCTTTTACTTTTAATTTAAAATTAAAAAGTTTTTATTGTTGTTAGTATTGAATTAATAAAATTTAAAATAAAATTAATATATATAATTCACAGTGATAGAGCTTTCTTACTGTTCTGTTTTTACATTTTCCTACTTTAATATGTTTTTATTTAGATGTTATTATTTTATAAAAGCCTAGATTTACTACATTCATTTATAAAATTTAAACTTCTTTTTAGTTAAAGAAAGCATTAAATACATGATATAACAAAATGTTAGTTCTTAAAGGAATACAATCAGAATAATTTAAGTAAAATATTTATTTTTAGCATTGGTTGATACAATTCAGCTTGTACAGTCACTTCGATCCTATCTTCCTCCACCACATATCGCAGTTAGTAGTTGGAAGAATGAAGATAAACACGGGTATTTTTTACTTTTATTCAATATAACTTAATTTAAAACTTTTATTAGTAATATTACGAACCCATATTTTTGCTTTTCAAACTGAAATTGAGCCGAAATTTTAATTTTTAAGTCGAATAAGACTTAAAATATCAAATTGTTTAAAAATTAAACAAATAAAATTTAAAATTAAAATATTTAAATAATCCAAATATTTAAATCAATATTAATTTTACTCATTTTGTGGCAATATATTTTTTATATCATTCAGTAATTTTTTTATTTTGATTTATTGATTCAAATGTTTAACTGATTTTCAAAAAAAAAGTTTGGTTCCATTTTTTTTTTCAATTTTGGAAGTGTAATGAACACCACGAGTTTGGTTCATAAATTGAATAGTTCAAATATTACTAATATTTATTTGTTATTATTTTTTACATATAGTATGCGAAAAAATGTGTTGGACAATTCAAATCAAACTATTTCAGCACCTAACTTTAAAGATCTCTGTGATGCAATGACTCGCAATAAGCAAAACTAAGTTTCTTTTGACTATCCTTTAAATAAATCTTTAATTTAAATCATATTTGTAATAACTCTTTAAAAATTCAAAATAATTGTCTAGTCAAAATCCAACTTTATTATTAGGTAGATACTTTGTATTTTAAGGATATTACAACTTATTAAATTATTTAGGTAATTTATTTTTACTTTTTATTCAATTTCTTCGATTTCAATCTATTTTCTTTAAATAATACGCGTTTTATTTTTCATTTGTTCTCTATTTTTATATTCACATGAACATTACATTTATTAAATAACTAAATATTTAAAACAGACAAATTTATTAAAATGTTAAACCATAATAAACAATCATCATTTTAATATAAAAATTATGTCTATTATAAATTTTAATAATTAAAATTTTTTTACTTTTTAAAAGTATAATATATTCAGAAAAGCTATTTACTATTAAATTTTGGGTAGATATTATATTTTGCTGCAGTTAAAATATAATTATATATAAGATGTATATAATTTTTATTCAATGTAAATCTACATTAATTTGTAAAAAACTAATTTAAAAGTTTTACTTTTGACACATTTCAATTTTATTTGGTTTACATCAATAATAACCAATAATTCCTTTTATAGAAACCTATTGTTACACATTTTTAGTAAATGATGATGATTTATTAATTATAAATGATTGGGATTTATTATGTATTAAATTAAACTATTATTTCTATTATTTTATAAATGTTTGAGTGCATGGTGTTCTAGTTTACTTTAATAATAATTAATACTTTAATAGTATTTACTAGGTCTTAAAAAATATGTTAAAAAAATTATGGTTTTTATAGCAACTAAATTTAATTTAGCCATTTTTAATTGATAAGTATCCTGAGATAATTAAATAAAAATATTATTAACTTTGGTGACATAATATATAAAGATTAATAAATTAATTGTACGCACAACTTTGCTCAAGATCATTCATAAAATTTAATAAATTTGCTGCCTTTTTGTAAAATGTAAATTGTAATAAAAAAAATACATGAAATAATTATAGATTTCAAAAAGTTAAGCATAATTATTAATTATTGAAATTTGAATATCATACAATTTGTTTTTATTATGATATTAAATTAAAAAAATAATGAACATACTTTTGCTAAGTGTGACTGTGAAACAGTAATTATAATCTTTAAAAATTCTAACATTGTGCTAGTCAAAATGTCTATAATTAATTGATTAAATAAAATTAATTATCAGTTTTTTGAAATATAACTATACTTTGTCTGTATGTTAAATATATTTCAAGTAATAAAAATCATAATAATAATATTATGTGTTTTCGACTTTTAAGAAACATCCAACTATTTTCTAACTTAAGTTTTAAAAATTAATAATTTTAAATTTCTTATAGAATCATAGAAACATTATAAATACAATATTCAATACTTTTTGAGAATTAAATATGATCTTTGTTATTCTCTTTAAAATCAAGCATTATTTTCAATAAAAGAAATATCTCTTGTTAAACAAGATTGTTTTAATATACTTGCTATAACTAAAGTAATTGTTCGAAGGAATTGAAATATAATTGAAAATAATAAAAATATTGATTTAAAATATTACATACATTTAAAATGTATACATTTATAAGAAAAGTGATTCTATATTTAGTTACACCAAAATATGTAATTTATTTATGCTCTATTATATATTATGTAATAGTTTGTTTAAAGTAATGATTTAAAATACTTTTTAGTATTTATAATATTTTTTTTTTAAATACATTAAATATACTTGTATCAAATAACTGTTCATTTAATTTTGTGTAAAATTGTTACCAGCAGCATTGCTAGACTGGGTTGTGCTTCTTTAGATTTTATACATGAAATAATTTTACTAAAGTCTAATTAGCTCGCTTTAGTAATTGGGCTTCCGACAGTCTAGTAGCACACAATAGTAATAATTGTAATAAATGTCTTTAAAACACATTTAAACAAATTAATTTAATTATTGTCTTCTCAAAATATTATATATCTGTGATTTTAATTAATTATTCTTATGTATAACATAATTAACTGAGTATTTTTTTTAATTATCATTTTCAATAACAAAATTTTAACTTTAAAACATTGAATCACTTGTTAATAAACAGTAATTTATTATTAGAATTTTACATCATATTTTGTAAGAATTTTTCTATAAAATATATGTTTACTATGTAGATTTTAATATATAAATAAAATAATTTATAAACTCAAAATAATTTAATTGTTTTTGTGAAACATACAGGAAATTACATATCTAGTAAGTTCAATACTGGAATGTTATTATTTTATTTATACTGACAGTATAAAAACGGCATCATGTAGCCAATAATAATCTTGATTTAAATCCCCTTCACATAAGTATGGTAATTTAGTCCAACAAAGAACATTGAAACCTGATGGTTCAAACACGTTTGCTATTGTAGATGACACTTGTTCTTCAAAAGTCTCGCCTGTGATTGGCAATTTTTCGTCGGGAACAGCACTTTCTAAATAAGATGTGAAAAGAATAATCAAAATATTAAGTATAATATTGTATTTAATGTTCACTAACTAAATTCATCATATGGTTTGTATGGTAGAACCAAAGCAATTATTACTCTACCATTGGATTTGAGAGATTTTTTGATGTTATTGAGCAAATTAATTGGTTCGCTACATCGGTCAAGCAAGTTTAAACAAGACACAATATCAAACTTTTCTTTATGATTCCACCATGTCTCAGTATTAAGTAATCTAAAAAAATAGTTATTTAATAGATACAGGCAAATAGTAAATACACATAAGGTATTTATTTATTTATAATAATTTATTTTTGGGGAAATTTATAATTTAACCATATTACAGACATTTATTTTTGCTTATCACTTTTTAAACTAAAATATAAACCAAGAAAAAATTCATTTAAATCTGAAATTTGGTCCCATAAATGATTTCGTTTGAGATAATTTCTTCCCAGACCAACCATAAAATAATTTTCATATTTTTTAAAGTATAATTTCAAAATTAGCAGAGGTCAAAAAATTGTTATTTTAAAACTAATAAGCAGTGTCGTCATTTGTGAATCACGTAGTTAAAATTTAATGTTATCAATTCGGCTCTAAGGTATAGCTTATCTAACCTCATTCTCACAAGTTTTAAATAAGAGATAAGAAATTCCCCCACCCTACATAATATCTATGCATACCAAAAAAAAAAATTTTTAATGACGCTCACGTTTGTAAGTATAGATAGAAAAAATTACCTAAAACCTTTTTGGGATAAAATTCTGATCATTGGTCCAGATTTTTCTGTTACATACACATGATTAACGAATGGTGTGTATTTTTCAGTGGTTGCACCATCCCCTGCTCCTAAATCCACTAAAGAGGAACCACTGGCAAAATATGTAATATTAAGTAATTTCCTTATTTGTTCTAATGAAAAAACGAACATTGAACCTCTTCTTAATAATCTAAAACAACAATTTAATTAAATAATTAAGTTATAATATACATTTTTTTTACTTAAATAAAATACTCTCAATACTATTTAATATATATAGAAGTGTTATCAATAAAACCATGTTTTGTAATGTATCTACTGTTATTTTTTGTATAAATATTAATTTGAATTATAATTTACTTATATTACTTAAGGTAAAATTTCTAAATATGTACTTTTATTTTTGTAATTTACTAGTAAAGTTAAATCTGTGGAATTAGAGGATTTAACCACTGATACACTATATCAAATTACGATGACGATCCATATGCTTTACATTTTTAACATATGTGATTTAACGTCATTTTTCTCTAAAAGTAATGTTTTATTATTAATTGTCACTTCTTATAAAAACAGTTTCGTAAAAACAGTTAAAGAGTCTTTTATGATTGTGTTTATAAAGCTTCGCGTATTAACAAAAATAAATTGATATTGATAAGCGATTATTGAGGACTGAAAAACTAACAAAAACCAAACCTTATGTGGTGATGTACTTGATGCAATGTATACAAATAAATCATTAATTTGTTTGAAGAATATTACTCCTCTCATAAATGTAGATATTTAAGGATTCTATATGTTAAATAGTTTTGCTCAGCAGCGTACTTAAATGAGGGTTACTAAATTTACAAAGTATACATGTGTGACATGTGTAAAAATTGATTCAACATAAATCCTAACTGAATTCACTCTCAATGAGTTTCAAAATACGTTACCGATTTTACTAAGTCAATGTAACTGACCTATACCCAGTGTATTTTTTACATGTAAGGTAGGGCAGGTAAGTGTTAAAAGTTTGCTTAAGGCGTGGAGTGTCGGTTGTAAAAAAAGGATCTCGATATTGATATGTACGTTGTACAAAAAATGTGTGATTGTTTTGTTCAGATTTGGAAGGAGTCAAGTGGTCCGTCGTTTTCAGATTTCCATATCCGGCCGATTAGTCGACGGAAGTAAAGAAAAAATATCCGATGGCGGGGAAATGAAGATAAGGAGAGGGGTTACCACAGTCGTGCTAACGAGAGATCGATCGGATTTCCTTCTCCGGACGAACGAGACAAGGAAAGCAATGGTGGCGGTAGCGGGTTGAGGAAACGACGAGGGTGTTGTGTGTACATAATATAGGTAAGAGTTGAGTAGAAAGAAGGAAGAAAGACTACGACGAAAAAGAATAATATTGTTCTTTCTGACGATGCTGTGTATGTGTGGGTGTTTTTTTTTCTGCCTCTCTCTGGGTTCGTTATTTTGCATCGCATTTCCATATTAGTGGAGCGAATGTAAGGGAAATAAATTACGAACTCTGTCTCGTTCTATTCACAGGATGGTAGAAACGCGGTAGGGGAAGACAAAAAAGGCGCTAAGAAAAAAAAGGTCGCGTTTATCCGCGGAGACTTCTCTTTTCGTCGTAATCGCTTACCCTCACCCCGTTGTCTCTCAGTTAGGCAACTTCAGAATTCGAGGAAACGAAGTGACGGCGAATGAGCTTCGCCTTACAAAAGAAACAAATAACGACAACGGTTCAAATGCCTGCAATTGCCAATCACGATTGAATATTCCTTCGAAAAGATTCACAAACGCCGAGGCAATGTGCTATGGAAATGTTTTTCCGAAGGAATAGCCTTTCAATTTACGTTCTCGAACACCAATAACTTCGTTAAAATTTAAATATGATATGTAAACATATCCGAATAATTGCTACGTTAATTATAATTAATATAATATAATTATAATATATTATAAATATAATTATAATATATTATAAATATAATTATATTTATGGTCGATTAATTATTTACAGAAGCAGGTTAATTAACAACTCATCAAGATATAATTCTATTCCTGAATTGAGCTGAAAGAAAATTAAATAATAATAAAAAAAAAACATTGTTTTTGAAAATTGGTTTATAAATTTATTAAAAGTGTTCTTAATTATTAGCTAGTTTAAATAAACTACCTTAAGCCCGCTTTGTTATAACATAGATAGATTTTTTTTTTTAAATAAAATGCGTTAATGAAAAAGAAAAAATGCGATTGAAGAGTTATAAACTTTTTAGCGCGCTCTGTTCAACGGTTAATGATGGATAGTAGACGTTTTCTAAAAATACCATTTACATTTTATGCAAAGATAATGTTTCTGCGTTCTATATCGTCTTAATTAAGTCGTCGTTAACGCGCGTGCGCAACGTCTGCGCGTACTTTGGCGGCATGAAAAGTAATTAGCATAAACTGCAGTGTATAGCAGTTAGTAACTTCTCCCAACCGAGTAATATAATAGACGTATAGATTATTTTAATGCAACAATGCACTGTCCATTGAGTGTTTTGTTTCTTTTTGCACGGCGTAACACACATAATCCAACTGCCTGCGATACTTATATGGAGTAAAATACGGCTGGCTGTCGAGCAATGGGCGATAATAAGGGTAAACGTCGCCGGCTGTCGAGTACATTGTGTTGTTACTATTGTGTTGGTCTAGTACTCTTCTTCGGATGTTCGCTATCCTTACCGCGGACACACGCAAGTCGCCAATAGTTTGTCTGCCTACGTTACCCGTATAATTAAACTCTACACGACAAAAGAAGATTCCACGAGACAAAAAGAATTAATAGAGTTTTCCAGTGCCAGGTCATTCAAACATACATCCCAGAAAATATATTGATACCAATACAGTTAATTAGATCGTCGAATTGACAAATAAGGCGATCTCTGAAAACCATAACATTAGTGTCGTCAATAAACATTTGTAGAAGTTAATAGTTATGAATTTATAATAAGTTGTCAACAGGAAAATGTTAAAAAGAGAAAATAAATTGATTTTTTATCACATGATGATCACGAATCAAAAATGTTGAAAATATTTCACGAGACAAAAAAATAACAAAACATTATACTAAATTTTAGATAACTGTAATGACACTTGGTTAAATTTACCTTACTCACATTGATTATAAATTAACGAAAATTCTCTTAAACGCGACTAAAGTTTAAATCAATAATTACCAGCCCAAACCAGTTGTCTGATCCAGATAGTTTTATTAAAAGGGTAATTTACCTGCGCAAAAACTTCAAAGCTTTTAGTATAATTATAAATCTGCCACAATATTACGGTATTTTACTAAGTATAAACTCGTACGTGCCATTTGTTTTTGACGACGACACTGCTAAATATTAAAATAAATTGCACAAAGAGTCAAGTCAAAGCTTAAATTAATCAGATTTTTTGAACTATAAAAATAAAAATCTTGGCATTGAACAGACAGACTATATTATGGTGTTATTTATTATTTAGTTATTTGATCATTTCTTATAATCTATGCTTGTATTAAAGAGGGCGGAAAATTAACATAGCCCAGCATAAAAAAATCGAATTCACGTTTACCTACGCACTGAGGCACACGCGTCAACAACTGAGCTAATTAAGCCGCCTAATTTTAATTAGTTTTTAATAATAAGCAAACCGTTTAAACCACATACGTCTATCTCTTGGCATAAGTTCTCCAAAATTTTTAATTTTAACTCTTTGTTGTAGAAAAATGAGAAATTCATGATCCATAACGAATTTTTCTTTTATTATTGTTAAAACAATTAACTCGAGGGTTTTCTATTTATTTTCAATTTGATATGTCAAATTTAGAAATTTTAAGAAAAGAGAAAACAATTTAATAATTTCAATAACTTCTCAAACAAATCGACATATTTTCTAAAGCAAAAGTCGTTTCTTATTGATAAAATAGATAAACTATTTTCTTATATAGACGTATAATATTCTATTCAATACATTAAAATCCATAAAATTTATTTCTGTGGCATAAGTTACTACATTGTCACACAAGCAATGTTGTAGTAAATGAGTATTTAAAAATAAAATTCTATGGTTTATGTCACATACTGTTCCAAAAGTTGTTATGGGCCATTAATTTTTGAAGTTAGATCATTTTTTATAATTTTTATATTAAAAATGTATGTTGCCATTTAGAAAAATTAAGTTGACCCCTATAACTTATAAGGGACGATGCTACAAAGTAATCGATAACTAATAAACCATAAAATAAAATATATATTTTAATTTTTTTTTCTTTTAATTTTGTATCTATAATTTTATCTTGTGAGTAATTGAATAACGGATCATCCAATATATTGAAGGTCACAATTTTTTGAAAAATATAATAACTATTGATCTAGTAAATGTTTTACGTTAATTATTTAAAAAAAAGTAACATAAAATATTTGTTGTATCAAAAATATTTTGACCTAAACATTGTAGACTACTCTGTAAATTAACCATATTTTATAAAAATATAATCTGGAAAACTGAAAGTAAAAAAATGCTAGATTATAGTAACGATAATAATTATTGTTACCATATTCTATAACTTTGAGCACAATAACTGAATTATTTATTTATTGTAGAAATATTTGGTATTTAATCTCTTATGGTATATTTTTTTAAACCACCTGTGAAAAAACAAAAATTCATTTTTTTTTTTCATACATTTAATAAATAATATTTCAAATAAGAATAGTTGAGAATATATTAAAAATACTTTTATATTTTTTATTCCATTACATAGTTTATTATGCAGTATTTTATAGTTTATTTTTTTACTATTTTGTGCGCTTTACATAATGAAGATTCATTTTAGTCTCCTTACGCCCTTGTTTCAAAGTATTCAGTATTGACCGCGTCCGATCACTATCTGCGACCGATGGCCTTGTTATTAAAAAACATTAGCATTTAACGCATTTGGCCCAGTCCATTTATGCGCGACTTAATATGTCACAGCTCAGCATATAGTGTACCTACATGCTCGTTTTAAAAATATCAATTAATTTTTAGAGTTTACACACGACACGCGCATTAGATAGAAAGTATATCAAAACGAAATAGCTAATACAATTATATACAAAATAATACTAAAATCTTTATGAGAACATTTATTAAATATTGACCGTGTCACTACAGTGAATCTTATTT